TTTTTAGGCACTTTGTCAAAAGCCTTTGAGAAGTCTAAAAATATAATGTCCATAGAATGACCTTCATCCTGCAGGCTGGTTATGACCTCCAGAAACTCCAATAAGTTAGTAAGGCAAGACTTCTGCTTCATAAAACCATGTTGACTGGGGTTAATAAGATTATTTTTCTGTAAATGGTCGACAATTTTATCCCGTAAGCACAGATGTAATGCTTGTAAGGGTTTCCCCTGCTTAGATATGCAATGATGAACGTTGAGGTTTGATACTTGATTTAGTTTCAGATAATTTTGACTTTCCCCAGAAAATCATGCAAATCCCTCGCCAAATTTTAAAACCACTAAAATCCCAGCTTTGAACTTAAGATCGGATTGAAAATATGTGAAAGTTTAATGCACATATACACATGTTTTGAACTAATTTGAAATGAAATCTGAAAAAGAGGCCCCGCTATGAACCCCCCAGACCGGCTCCAGGCGCAGGAAGCACCTTCCCACCCCTGATCTAACTGGATCTTTATACAATTACTCCATTGTCATGGGATAAAAAGGAGATACATTCCAGCCAGTTGGCTCATCAATTAACACCATTGGTCGGTTTACGACACTTCAGGAAAAAATTCGAGAGAGCGTTAACCTCCAACTAATAAACTACAAATTCAAGTGGGAAACATGTTATTCTAAACTGTTAAACGCTGAATCTGTAAAAATAACCGAGTCCTATCAGAGCGGGGTAATTTTTAGATTTATTTTTTATTTATTTCTGATTTAACGATGTTGCATAAAGGAAACCCTGCCAACTACAGGAGTTAATATATTCAACTTGGAGTTCAAGAAACCTGGAAACAAAACCAAAACAGTTTCAATAAGGTAATAAAAGGATAATAATTATATAATCTAAGTTGCTGTTTAAATAAACTAGGCTTTTAGGGTGCTTCGCGCTCATCTTCTATTTCAATTTCTGTGAGCATATTCTCCGTGTACAATATAAAACAATGAAATTCGCGGATTTAATAATATTTTTTCGTGGATTTTAAAATTTTATATACATCCTAAGTTTTTTAATTTTAAGAATAGTTTAATAGGATAATAATTATATATTGTAATGAGTTGCAATTTAAATAAATAGTTTAATAAGGTAATAGCAGGATAATAATTACACATTGTAGTGAATTGTAATTTTAAATAAGGTAACACTAGGATAATAATAATAATATACTGTAATGAGTTGCAATATAAATAAATAGTTAATAAGGTAATAGTAGGATAATAATTACACACAGTAGTGAATTGTAATTTTAAATAGGGTAATACTAGGACAAAAATAATATACTGTAATGAGTGGCAATTTAGTATAAATAGTTTAATAAGTTAATAGCAGGATAATAATTACACATTGTAGTGAATTTTAATTTTAAATAAGGTAACACTAGGATAATAATTATATACTGTAATGAGTTGCAATATAAATAAATAGTTGATAAGGTAATAGCAGGATAATAATTACACACTGTAGTGAATTGTAATTTTAAATAGGGTAATGCTAGGATAATAAAAATATGCTGTAATGAGTTGCAATTTAATATAAATAGTTTAATAAGTTAATAGCAGGATAATGATTACACATTTTAGTGAATTGTAATTTTATATAAGGTAATATTAGGATAATAAAAATATACGGTAATGAGTTGCAGTTTAAATAAATAGTTTTTAGTTTAAATAAATTGTCAGTGGTGTATAGGGGAAGGGGAAGGGTTGATCTAAGCTGGTTCTGAGTAGTGTATGGAATGTTACTAAAGTTTTCAGTCGATAAATGGGTTGATCACTTTTTATTAGGTTAATTGTCTAAAAGTATTGAACATTGTGAGAAGTGTGTTGATTAGATTTCAAATCGGTGAAGGGGTTCACAAGTTATGATTGGAAACACAAAAAAACAGATAAACAGACAAAAAAAAAACAATAATCTCTATATAATAAAGCTTTTCGCTCATCTATAAATAATTGTATAATCATATGTGTTAGCTGGCCAAACGGCTGAAGCTAATTGGCTGACATTTTTTAAGGGAACCCTTGAGTAATCTTTGGGGTAACAACAGTGGCGCAACTAGAAGTTGTGTGAGGGGCGGGGGCCAAATAAAATTTTGAGAAATTGTGCGCGAAACGTCAAAGAAAAATTTTGGTATTTTTTCTTCCTTGACAAAATTTGATAGAAGATAGTCCGCAATCATGGGGGGGGGGGGGCGAGAGGGAGGCGAAATTTGCTGAGAGGGGGCCCCCCTAGTTGCGCCACTGGGTAACCTAGACTAAAAAATATTTATTTTTTTCAAAATAATATTTTTTTTAATTAAAAATTTTTTTCAAGTGCATTTAAAATTTTACGAGCAACGCTGGGCACTTAGGATAGTTACTTTATATTACAAAAAAAATTTGTTTAAAAAAAGATATATGTGTAGGGAGCTAGGAGGTATCCTATGTCCACTGTGGAGCTCATATCTAGAAAAAGAGATATATATTATCTATGTTGTGGATTCAGCAAATTTGGGTCAAGTAGCCCAAGTGGGTTGCACTCTAGGCAATATTATAGGTAACTAACTTCGACAATTTTACTATTTAAAAGAAGTCTTTTTATAAATTTTTACAAAGTAAGTCAATTAAAAAAAGTTTCTCCTTAAAAATTTATGTTCCAGCTCTTAAAAAATATTCATATTAAATTTTGGAGAAAAGAAAAATAAAAGGTATTTTTCCAAATCTTAAAAAATGTATTCCACGGATAGTTGTTATAAATAAAAATGTTTAGGTATTCTAGAGAAAAACAGCGCACAACTACAGAGACAAGCAAAGCTTTGTGTTGTTTTCAGGCACACATTTATCTTTTAAAGGCATTGTTCAGAATCAGATATTTGAGAAAAGACGACGGGAATGTGAAATGCGCCAAAAATGTTGGTCTGTAATGTTACTGTACTACTGTACTGTCTTGGAGGAATTTAAAAATCTCGGTGCTAGAAAAAAAGTCAAAATTCGGGGTTAAATTGTTCAAAAATCACATCCGGTGGGGGGGGGGGGGGGGGA